GCTCAATGCTGCTCAGCCACAAGCCAGGTTGATGGCTGCCAGTACAGCAGTGGTGGTGGGAGCTTCTCCTGCCTCCTCAGCAGTGTTAAGGATGTCCGACTACATCTTAGGTCTGCTCCCCGCTGGCAAGTGGACATCCCCCGAGGGCTCCCGGGCTGCCAGAGGGATGTCTGATTGCCAGCTTAGGCCCAATCCCCTGGGGAGAAGGCCTCAGCCAGCAGATGGTCATCCCCTGAGGGGTCCCAGACTGCGAGAGGGCACAGGCCGGGCTAAGGAACCCTCCTCCCCACCCATGTGCACAAATTTTTGTGCACTGGGCCTCTAATCTATATATAAAAGGTTAAGTGACCAACCATATGTACTTACATATGTCTGATTGTCCAACCGACACATATGATGCACACTGGCAATTTAAAAATAAACTTTGACTTGAGCATGTGCAATGCATGTAAAGCTCTCGCTGGTGCCATTTGCATGCATGTGTTTCAATCTGTCATTGTTGATCATGAATTTGGTTGATACTTCTATTATAGAGAAAGGGTGAATAGCGATATTAAAATATTTATTCTAATTAATTTCCTTTCAATGTGCACAAATTCATGTACTGGGCCACTAGTTTATTATAAAACTCATCCCTGGATTGTGTGGCTCGGTTGTTTGGAACATCATCCTGTGCACCGAAGTGTTTTCGACAGAGGCAACTGACCAATATTTCACCTTCACATTGATGGGTTTTTTTTTTCTTTCTCTCTCTCTCAACTCAATAAAAACTTATCTTCAGGTGAGGACCTAAAAAAAAAAAGAGGATATAACTCGGGAACAGTCAGAGGGAATGAATGCATAAGGCAAGGTGGGGGAATGGGCACGGAAGCTCCTTTCTCTTAGCATGCCACTCTCTCAGGACCACCACGTGTTCACCAACCTGAAAGCTCTCTGTACATTATCCTTTTGCCTCCTGGGTAAACACTTGCATAAAGCAATGATGCACATGGGTTTTCTTCTTTCCTAAATCGTATTCACTGGAGACTTACTGTAGACCCTGATTTGGGGTCTACAAATGGAAAAATGAAAGAAGTCCCTCAACATTGCATTTGAAAATCAGGGCTAGATCATACCTTTATGGTGAAGGAGAACCATGATGTCCTGGGGCTTTGAGGTTTGTGGGGAATTATGCCCTAATAATACAGAGGGATGATAAACCACCAATGAGCCAGATGAATGTTGATTTCTTAGTTAAAGGCTCTCCAACTGGTAATAGCTGTTTTCAAAATACTGGAGAGGTTAAAAGGTTGGTTTTACAGAGGACTTTTCTTTTTTTTTTTCTTTTTT